TGTGGGTTCTTTGGTGTTTGGGGGGTGTGTTAGTGAGGGAGGGGTATGGGGTGATGAAAGGAGGGAGGGGGATGGGGGTAGGAGAGAAGAAGAGGGTTTGATTTATGTGTATATACGAGTACATTGTGAGAATAAGGAAGCTTGTATCGGCTCTTTCGTATCTCATCCTTGTTAGACTTGGAATGATAGGTGTATGTATAGATTCTAAAGAATTGAATTAAATATCTTGTTCTAGGTTCCTAGTGAAGAAACATGGACGTCGCTTTGCTTTGCATGTCGTTTTATAGATACTGTACTCGTAGACGGATTTGAATCCTAGATGTTATAATAATTTGTTTAGATCTTATGTACTTCCTATTACCTTACCCACCTTGTGAATTGTAATGTTTGACAGGGTTTACAAGTATAGTTTGTATAGTCTGTAAGATACAAAAGAAACAATTCTACTGGTATAATAGGTAGAATCAAGCTAAGCTAAGTGCATGTATGGTAACACGCACTATGATACTATCCATCCCACAAAGAACGGAAAAGGGAAGCGTTTATTGCTCTGGTTTGTAAATCTTTTCATCATCTAATCTACAGCAAACATTCTTGGCAACCTAAGCTATTTCTCATCTCTATCTGCTATGCATATATGTACATTAAAAAAGCAAAAAACAAAACTTTTGATGCGTCCTGAAAATGCAACTAATCTACATCATCATCCCGCGTAGCCTCTTGCTCTCCAGCATCCCAAGTATTCCCATGAGGCGGATGATTAGGGCCCGCCGCCGTCGGATGCCCTAATTCACGAACGTCTGGATTTACACCCGCCAGGAAATCCATTTCCATCATGAGGCTGGTATGTATAGGTTGTATCGAGGTTGGCAAAGGTAGCATAGGCGGCACTGCATGAGCCGGCAGCGGCACAGTTCTCATCATCACCTCGAGCTCTTTTTGGAAAGCATTGAGTTCTGCGCGCATCACCTTCATACTGACCCAGTTGGAGAGGGAGAGTGCCATGTAATCGTCTGGTCCACCGGGACTGTATTGGCGATCCGAGACGGAGAAGCGGGCGAGGATGTCGAGACCGGTGCATTCAAAGGATGGATGGGGACGGAGGTATGATCCATCGGGTCTTGTGGCTGGCTCGTTGGTGGAGGTATCAGGATTGGTATTCGCTGCTGTGTCATTTGTAGAAGGGGAAGCATTCATGGGAGCGACTCCAGTTGTGTCCATATTAACTCCCCCTCCCGCGTCATGTGTAGGAGGTGGAGCGTTTATAGGAGGGAGTCCAGTACCACCCATATAAGATCTCTCACCCACGTCTTCCGCGAAGCCAGAATTATTACCACTGATAAAAGACAAAGACTTGATCTGCGCTAGAGTACTCCATCTGAAGTAGCTAAGCTGAAAATTTGGTTTCCTGGGCATTGAAGTGAGACTTTTATGCAGAAATGGTCGTTCAAGAGCTGTTCCCGTTAGATCAGGAAAATAGGCTGGAGCGGCGGGGGAGCAGTTACGAAGAGAAACAACGAATCTGTTGATGGAGTAGAATATAGGGGTAGCTTCGGCATTGATGAGTTTGCAAGTCTGAAGGATGCTGACTCTCGGAAAATAAATCTCTTTTGATGAGGTACAATCACATGGTAATTTTCTGGGAGGGGCCATGATCTCGTCTGGGAATGTTAAAAGGTATTTGAATATCTATAGAATGTCAGTTTTTCGCCCTAAACTAAAAGATTGAAAGCATAGGACATAACGATCGATGAGCAGGTGTTTAACGCCCATCAAAATCATAACTAGACTCCTTAACCATTTAGAGCCTGTGGAAAGACTGATCCTTGAGTGCACTGTCTCTTCTTGCTACTCTTGTCAATCGACCAAGTTATAGTAATGGCTTGAGAAGGCTCAGAAGTACCAAGAATCGACCATTCTTCTTCTTCTAACCTTCTCAAAGAACACTTCAACTCATTCTAGGCCATTTCGCAGTATGACCAGTAATGGTCGCCGAACCGGGATTGAAAGCATGCTAAAATAAGACCATACCTTTAGACGGATTTCAACAGGAAGATCCATTAATGAAGGGCGACTTTTAGTGCCAATCATGGTGGGTTCTGTTGCTCCGGCACTAATGATATCGGATGTTTAGCTATACGGCCTAAAGCGCCCTGCCAACCTCGTATAGGCTCTGATGAAGCTTTGATTGACCAAGTAACTTCTGAAGAAACCAAAAACCGTCGTATAGTTCACGATGATAATCCTTGGTGTTGAGCTCGTTGAAAGCACAGTTTGGTGGAATCTCGTGATGCAGTCTCAGCGCCACAGCTGTACGAATGTAACGGTGTCTCGGAATGGTACCAAGTACAGGCTAGCTGCAGGAAGGGAGGAAAAGTTCGTGGCGTACTATGACTTCAACTTGTCTTTCCGCATAAAACTGGGCAGAAAGTGGAAGTCGGCGCTTGATGCCAGAATCAGATCTCCCGACGCGCTTTCGAGGGATGAACTGGCTGGAGATGACCGTCGCCGTCACACGACAACTCTATGGTTGGTGATGTGATGGGTCGGATTGGTACGGTATGCACCAGCGGAGCGCGGGGTACCGAATGCTTTTTCTGCCCAACTTCTGACGACGTCCCCGGGATAGATTGACGATGGACGAGGGAGAAGCCTGGGGGATCTTCTCCAGCAAGGCGATGGGAGTGGGTAGCGAGAGAGGAGGACCGGGAGAACCTTGAATGGTCTGGGAATGGCAGTGGCAGTGAGTGACTGGGTAGATGTGGGTGTGGACGATTGGGGTTAAGGCATCCAGTGGGTGGGAGAAGTCGGGTTGGCGAGGCAGGAAGAATGGGGGAAGTGGATGGGTGATGGAAGGATCGATGGAGGCGGGGCGACGGGCGTAGGCGTAGGGGCGGGATAGAGTTCGAGAACTCCCTGGAAGTGAGGTGGAGGTGCTTGGTGCTTTTGTAGAGTGGGAGGTCACTTACTGCGGCTGCCACTGAAATGGCCTAGGATGGCCCAGGATAGATGGTATGGTATGGCTATGCGGGTCATTCCACTGGTGCTTCCACTAACTTAGCGGCAACTCAGAAGACTAGATTCACTGCTGTACTATCAGACTCGTCCCATCACCATCACCACCTGGGCAACCGATTTTCTCTACCAGGCCAGCTACGAGCCTACGAGCCTACGAGCCTACGAGCCTACGAGCCTACGAGCCTACGAGCCTACGAGCCCTTTGTTCCCTGGTACACGCCGGGCTCCATTCTTGCTCGCCTCGCGTAGGATACCTGTAGTACTGAGTATAGAAAGAAAGCTGGACACGACGCAATCAATCACTCATCGCTTCACCAAATCCCAATCCCAGCGTCAATAATAATCAATTTAGCTTGCAGACTAAAATCGATTCTTTTCAGCATTTTTGATTGCCTGCCAATTTACGGCGCGTTGCCTCATCTTACCTGCATCAGTTGGGGCCTCTGTCTCTGCCGCTTGCGCTTGTCGACCCTGCACGTCTAGCTTTCAAAGCTGCAGCTTCCCCCGCCATCATCACTCCAAGGCTCCAAGTCGAGCCACTTGCACTCTTGCATTTTACCCGACCTCGCATCGCATACCGTCATAGTACCCCGTACAACACTCCACCTCAAAAAGAGCCACTACAACTACCACCACTTCTTCCTCCTTATGACTCTCTCTCTTACTTCTACACAATTCCAGTAGCCACGGGACATTCTCCCGTCAATACATAAGAGCTTCCCATTCAGCTATTCTCTGCTCTCTGCCTTGCCATACAGAGTACCAGAGACGCAATTGCAATGGCTTCAGCTGCCGAAGGAGAAGATGTTTACGCTACAGTGCGTTGCTTCCCCACCTTGCTTCTATTTCTTTCTGTTGTCTTGCATACTAATTTTCGAGTGACCAGCTTCTTCTGAGTGATCCTTATCTTCCTGGTAAGTACTTTTCCATGCAAAATGTAAAAAACCCAAAGCTCACAAAAAGTCTCTAGGTGCACTGGTAGTGGCACACTCATTACGTGATGCCGGGACAACCAAGAAGTTGGCGGTGCTCATCACAGCAGATACCGTGTCGCAAAGCGCAATAAATCAGCTACAGGTACAAAAAGTCTCTTGTTCCAGTCCCAAGATACACAGTCTAACATGTGGCAGCGAGTCTACGATTACATCATTCCTGTTGAACGAGTCGTCACTCCAACCCCAGCCAATTTGTTCCTCATGAACCGCGCAGATCTCCATTCAACCTTTACGAAGATCAATTTATGGAAGTTGTTACAGTTTCGAAAGATAGTCTATGTTGACGCGGATATGGTTGCCATTCGAGCACCAGATGAGCTCTTTGATCTGCCACAACCTTTCTCGGCAGCCCCAGATATTGGCTGGCCGGATATATTCAATACGGGATTGATGGTTTTGACCCCAAACATGGGTGATTACTATTCGTTGCTTGCCATGGCAGAGCGAGGCATTTCCTTCGATGGTGCAGATCAAGGTCTACTGAACATGCACTTCAAGAACACCTTGAATCGCTTGAGCTTTACGTACAACGTCACGCCATCTGCCCACTACCAATACCTACCAGCATATCGACATTTCCAGTCGAGCATTAGCATGGGTCATTTCATTGGCAAAGACAAACCCTGGACTAAAGGAAGAGATGCCCATAATGGTTCGAATCCTTATGACGAGATGGTTGGAAAATGGTGGGCAACTTATGACAGACATTTTCGCGAATCGGTGAGTAACTTGTTGTGTATTCTTCCATCCCCCTAACATTATGACAGTCTGTCGAAGGTTCAGCCCAAGGAAGATCTACTCTTGTACATTATCATACAAAAGGCGAATTTCATCCAACCACGGTTGGCAATACCTTTACCGACGATCAAGCCTTCCACAGTGAGAAGCCCCATCCAGAAGAGTTCCACGTAGCACCGCCCCCAGTAGAAATATCCCATGCAGCACACCATCAGGAGCCATCTAGGACAGAGGGTGAGCCACCCAGTACAATAGCATATACAGCCAGTAGTGAAGATTTGCATGGTGTATCTGTGCCACATGAAACTCCTCTGCATGAGACTGCAGAAATCCCAAAAGAGTTGGAAGAAGCTTATGTTCCCCCAGTGCAGACGAATCTGGACAGGGAGAGGGAAAGGGAGATCCAATACCAGCCAACTTGGGACGCAAGCATGTTAGTATACTTCCAAACTTGGCTGTTGCTATGAAGCTAACAGAATCCAGTGCTCCTCCACCGTCGGACTCCCGGCCTGAAGCCTCAAACTTTCCCTCTACCCATTACGAAATGTCCTCCGATCCAACGCCTTTCCAAGCTCCACCGAGATACCCAGACCCTCCCAGGGATATGTATTATGAAGTCCCCAAGACTCCAACATATCAAAAGCCTGCTCCGATTTTCCCTTGGGAGAAGAATGCATCGAAGCCTACAAGAGTATTTCCTGAAGACCATCCTGAAATAACTGAGCCTTTCAGCAGTGCTGTTGAATTTGCCCTGGAACCACCTGTGTCTTCGGCGCAACAAGAAGAAGTGGTAACACCTGTTACGCCTGTTACATCTACCACTCCCATCATGCAGCTCACACCCGCTGATCCCTGGCAGACTTATTCTCGTGGAAATGCCTGGGACGATATCCCTGAGATCGAGCGGTACATCGGACATTTACAAAAGAATCGCAAGGGCAATATCCAAGTATTGCAGGGGACCGGTATGGGTGTAGAACAGGCCTCCAGAAGGCACAGCATGAGGCTCACCGATTTCCCCACCGAGCTTGAACGTCCAAGTCTTCCAGTGACGCCTGCGCCAGTCAGAAGATCACAATTCTGGGGAGAGGAGAGAAATTCCCGTGGCGAATTACCAGCCGCAGAGGGAGTTCCTTCCCAAGAGGAATGGGTACGACTTATTTTAAGCGCGCACTTTGTCCAAATACTGATCCTGTACAGGATCCTGCAACGCGACTTGAGCAGCTGGCCCGTCAACAATCAGATGTATTAGCCCATAAGCTTGGTGAGGTAACTGCAAGAGAGTTGCCTTCTCGGTCATTGCCGTATGGGTCTGAGGGGGTCATTTCACCTTGTTATGTTGCTCAAGGACCGTCTACTAGTGTGGAAGCGGACGCTACAGACTCGACCCCACGTACTCATATTGAAGAGCCAAGTTTTCAAGGACCGGGGGCACAATTTGAAAAGGGCGAGACATTTCTTTCCAAGTTGACCCCGGAGCCTGCTACAGAGGAGGAGATGGATGTCCTCGAAACATAGCGATCTTTCACACCCATAATGTTTAATTTTCTCAAGGTTCGACAAGTTCTGTCTTGTACAATAAGGGGGAATCCGTTTTTTATTTCTGGCATTGCATGCTTGCAGCATAGTTTTCTCTTTTTCGGCTCTTTTTGTTGTCTTCTCTTTTCTTGCGGAAGTGGAAGATGGGGTGGCTTGTATCATATGCATCATCAGCATGGTGAGCGCGCTCTTGTGCATTTGCATCGAGGTGTATATTAGATTATTCTGGAGGAAAGGGTTGAGATTTTTGGGACAGGTAAATTTTATGATGTTCATGGAATTTGAAGGAGCAGAAAGAAGTGGAGGATTACCTATTTATTCCTGGAGCTGGGAAGGGGGGATGGAATGGTATGGGTGGGGGTTTTGTTGTGGACTTTGACAAATACCCACTTTTTAATGAAGGGATATTTGATGGTGTGTCACTTGACTTCTTTTCTCTTTTGGAGGTATCGTGAGTTTTATGTGATGATGAGAGGCTTTGTGAAAGAAGTAAAGCTTGAAGGAACCGATAGTAAGATCCCCGACTACTGGCACTCGTACTTCGCAACCAATAATTCTGATATTATGAGTACAGTAATATATATGCCCATCAAGATTCGGAAGAGGAGCAACATGCCGCAACAATCATCCTTTCACCTCTTATCCTCTCTCCGCCGGCTAGAATCCACGATCCTCCGCGCCTTAAAGTCATATGATTGCCTCTGAAGCCCAAGCCCGGCTAGACATTACCTCTTCCACACGAACTGGAATCCCTTCAACGCGGATCCCCATAAACCCAGACGCCCTGTAGGTCCGGGTCGCGAGAGCCGACTCAGGTGCCAGGGTGTCAGAGAAAGATTTTCCGGCCCTCCCCTGAAATGCCGCGATAAGCGAGGGGTAGGCTAGGAAGGTTCCTTTAATGAGAGTTACATTAGTACAGTATCTAACGGACTTTTTGAGATTCGAGAGGGATAAGAAGTTTGACGGTAAGTCTTTTACGACATCAGGGATTGGGGGAGTTTGTTGGAGGGCGGGGGGTATGAGAGTGTAACCCAGTTTCTGAAATATGGGCGCTTAGTTATATTTATGAACTTGGGTATTCCTTCCCAAGGTTAAAGTAGTCTTTCCAGAAGAAAAAACGACTCTGCTACCATATCTTTGAGACGGCTCGGGGGAGAAGTAGTCCAGAAACTCTTCAGGGTGGAGTCTCAATAAAACCTATAGCTAGCGTGTTTTCCGATGAGTACTTGCAATGTTGCGATCTTGGTTGAAATTGAGGAAGGCGATTCCGATCTTGCTACAGTGTAACGAGATGTTGATGTCGTTGCCCATTTCCATGAGTACAGCGATGTACTGTACGAGTTGAAGGTATGTTTAACTATACATACATATCTTATGTCCTTTTTCTTTAGATTCGACAGCAAAACATTTTTCGACAGTAAGAAATGGCTTTGTCGTACTTGATCGCAGCTCGAATTCTCGATCTTCCATGGCTCCTTACTCATGGCATACGTATACTAAGTAGAGGACCAAGTATTCTCAACCATGTTGAAAGCTTTGAATTATTGGCTTCGGTTGATTCTGCTGCATGGCCCATTCAAATGCATGGAGTTCACGGCCAGGGTACAGTGGCTTGTTGAGGATCGCCTTGTATATTTATGGACCAACAACGCAAGTGCTGTAATAGTGCCCCACTTTTACTTCTATTTTGGAGCTTATTAGTTATGTCATTCCCGTTCTTTCTTTGAAGATATGTTTTCCTTGATCTTTCCGCTGTTATTATGATGAGGCTTTTTCTGTGTATAATACTCAACTATGTCTCTCGTAATCCAACTACTGTGTATGAATCTAAGAGTATTTATTTCCACGGTCTTAGAACTATTCGAGTCGTAATATTCGCCAAAATGTGAAACTTAAAGGAATAACGGAATTAGGGGGAAGCTAGAAAATTGTTACGTCACTTATGTACTTTTTTTTGCATATCGTAATGTATTTACATACCATAATTACACGATACTATTCCAAGCTCTTAACTTCTCCCTCATATACCACCCTTTGACCCTCCCTTCATACCAACTCCCTGAAAACCCAGTGGTTTTAGTGACTACAAAAGCCTAAACGGCACTGTAACATAATCAATAAAAATAAGAACGAAATGAAATTTTGTAGTCTGATTGAGAATAGAGCGCATGTACCGGCTAGTAAGAGCAACAAATACCAAGTTAGTTGATCGCAGTGTGCTGTATCTCAGGCGCATATTGAGTTGACTATAAGGATTTTTTGTTAGAATCTCTTGGGATAAGCGGTATATTACTCACGTGGTTTTATTGCATATCGCACACCCAGAATTTCAAAATGTCAGAATGTTGAAATGTCACAGATGTCACAATTCTGATACATTCAGGAGGGGTGAGTGTCAAAACATGTGGTGTTGTCCTCCCAAAACAGTTTTGTTATACGTAGGCAATTTCATTTTGAAAACCTATTCTATTATAAAGAGCAGGGATCATATCTTATGAATCTCTTTTCAACAATCAATGTCATCATTACCGATTCGTATAAATCAATGATAATCCCTCATTCCAAGATCCCCCTAGAGGTATCCACCATCAATGCACAATACCCACCACCACGTTCTTGACGAACTTACACCATTATTTAGTATATCTTGAATATGGCTCTGAAATTCCTGGAGTATATTAAATGAGCGGTTGATTTTATGCCAGTAAGTATCTCGATTGTTTAAACTTCGAAGGTCTAAGGTTTTTCGATAGTAAGACATTCTTTGACGGTAATTTTCAATAGGTACAAGGAGAATTCTAGAACTCACTTCAAAGCAGCTACGGACTTTGGAAAAACTTCTACTTCCTTAGTATTAATGCCTGTATACGTTGAAGTAACCATTAATTTCGTGATATTTATGTTACATCCAACATGGCATGCGCCGCTTCTGGCTCTTGCCTGGACATGAATATCTCCAACAGCCTTTATAAACGACCTAACCCAAACAAGTCATTTTTGAGTCGCAAAGAACGGGTTATATATTGAGTGAGCGAACAAGAAGTCAGGAGGACTAGCTAGGCAGATAGAGCGTACCGGGGTTGAGTGGGCCTCTCGCTAACCCTGTATTTAAGCGAGGATCTCTTATCATTAAGCTTAATAAGGAACTAACTGTAATTGCGCTTAACCTAATCGTTGAATAGCAGGTGTGTGAAGGTCGTTGGGCGCATGCTGATTCTGGATGAAGGGCTTCTGTTGGTTGAATTGTCCGTACCGTATTTTGTATTGTGCGGGGAATTGGTTAGGGGACGAAGAGGGGGGAGGG